GGAGACGTAACAATAGGTTAGTTGTTGATTATGAAAACTAATGTGTCACGTTAAAGTTATATCGTTCAAATAACTTGTAACTTTTTAGGAGTATGGTAATGGTCGTCAAAATATATTTTATTAAAGGATATTTTAACAATGCAATTAATATTATACATAAACTAAAGATATTAGGGTAAAGACTTCCGTTTCGCATAACCAGATTGGTTTGGTAATCCAAATAACGTGACAATTCATTATCTTTTATCTAATCGGTGCTACCATAACGTACAGTCTATACATATACTATCGCCATCACCGATTTAACTTTCTTTTATTTGCAATTAGCGCCATTTATCATAAATAATGCTTTTAAACTAATAAACTACAAAATACCATTACATAATGTTTTGGGGGTAAATATAATCGGAATGAAATAAGTTCCAACAATCAAAACTTGCACAATTATAACCTAAATTACTTATTAAATTATTATTATTTGCTGAAGAAAAATGTGGATAGATATAAATTATTTAGCAAGAAATTATGTTTTAGTGAATCATTAAAATGGTGATGATGATAGTATCTGTATAGACTGCACGCTATAGTAGCACCATCTAATCTGTATATTTTGTGTAAATTGAGACAAACGATGATAGCATATGTGGGAGTCAAACACGTACTGCATGCAACTGAAGCGTGTCAGTATATTTCGTTATAGACCACTACCTTATTATGCTGGGGTTTAATATATGTGCCCGACCTTCGTATAAAAATTGCGTGCCACGCGCTGAGTCTCGGAGCAGTCAGTTACTAAGGTGCACGATTTTCATGCTGCGGTTTAGGTTGTGATTCTTGTTCCACAAACCTGTGCCAATAAGACTGATATAATTAGTTGGCTATACATACTTGGAGCTGCCAATAAGACTGATATAATTAGTTGGTTATACATACTTGGAGCTGCCAATAGTAATGATATAATTAGTTGGTTATACATACTTGGAGCTGCCAATAAGACTGATATAATTAGTTGGTTATACATACGTGGAACTGCCAATAGTAATGATATAATTAGTTGGTTATACATACTTGGAGCTGCCAATAAGACTATGTATAACCAACTAATTATATCACTTGGAGCTGCCAATAGTAATGATATAATTAGTTGGTTATACGTACTTGGAGCTGCCAATAAGACTGATATAATTAGTTGGTTATACATACTTGGAGCTGCCAATAAGAATGATATAATTAGTTGGTTATACATAGTTGAAGCTGCCAATAAGAATGATATAATTAGTTGGTTATACATACTTGGAATTACTGCTTTTATTTATTGTGGCCAGTAGATAGTTTGCGAAAAAACTTTTTTGTACATCTTTTTCAATGTGATGTTTAAGGGATGCAGGCTGTGGTAATTTCTGTGTCGGATATCGCACCTGGATCCGTGGCGCGCTTGCCGCCGGAAACCTCACCGCACGCGACTAAACTCTGTTCTCTGTGTTCCCCCAGAATCCCGTCAATCAGACGAGAGGGCGGAGCCTAGACTATCCTGAGACCAGGCTGACAACAAAGTTTTAACAGTGCACGAGCGGACAACACAGAGAAGCTATGGGGAGGCGAGCACGAGCGTCTCTGCTCGCCACAGTTATACTTCAACTTGCGGTGTTACAGGTAAGGTTCAGCACAAAAACTGTTACGAAAGTTAGTTTTTCGAATACTTTATTTGTCAGTTGATGGTAAAAATAACAAAATAGGTAATTTTCACCTGTTTTCTTAGGTCTTTTGAAATTTTATACTTTTTAAAAATATAACTGAATGTTGTAGAATTAATAAAGTAAATCAAATGTTCATAAAAATAATTGTTATATTGTGGAGTAAAATTGTATTATTTTCATAATATATATAAAATAATTGTTATATTGTGGAGTAAAATTGTATTATTTTCATAATATATTTTTGAAACATTTAATTCCAGTTTATCTTCTTTATTTCTATAAAAGTTAGTTATATGTAAGTGATATATATATATACCATTGATGTTAGCTACAACTGAACATGCTTTAGCTTTTTTTTATAATTCTCTATAAGATTAGAATTTGAACATTGGCTAAATACGTGTTTTGCATCATACAACAGGTTTCCGGCTCGGGAGCGTTTGAGTTTCGGTTAGAGGCATTCTCCAACGACTACGGTCGAGATTTCGAAGGAAATTGTTGCAGTGGATACCGCACGTCGCATGGTTTGTGTAGTGGTGTTTGCCAAACGTCTTTTCGCGTGTGTTTGAAACATTACCAAGCAACTATAAATCCTAACCCGCCGTGCACTTTTGGTGAGGTTATATCGCCTGTGCTGGGAAACAATTCGGTTCATCTTCTGGATAAGAAGGTGGCCGGCTTTATCAACCCTGTTCGATTTTCATTTGACTTTTCGTGGCCGGTAAGTAGTTTGATGTAGTTATGTTACTAATAGTTTCTTTTAACGACTGGAAATAAATAATGCGCAAAAAGTTCAAAATGTCAACAAAAAAAATTAATATGCAATATTTGAAACATGTGAGGGAATGCATAACTTATATATCCTCATTATAAATTGGTTTGGACTACTTTCAGTTCCTAACAAGTTCTGTTTACAAATCGAGTTATTATTCTTTTGTCCGAGGTATACAATTACTGGTGTTTTACCGAATTCGACAAGAGTTTACTTTGATTGTGTATATTGTATAATCATCGTCATATTATTATGAAATAAAACTTCGCGTGAAAAATGAATTGAGAAAAAAGTGATAATTTTCTTCTAAGAGCAAGGTAGTTTTGTATTATTCTATAGATACTTTTTAAAGATTCAACTAAAAAATTGATTAAGTTTAACAATATCTTTTCATGTGACCAGCTCAGTAATTTCTCTCTAATATCATCATGTGTATAAAGAAATATTCCTTCAAAAACAACAGAAGAACTAGGTTTAGCAGTTTTTGAACCTCGTGCGTTACAGATCTCGGTTAATATACACGTAATATTAACTACATAATTATCAGTAATTTTTTTATGTATTTTATAACTTCTAGTACACTCCTGAACTATTTTTAAGATAGTTTTAGAGAGCCATCTATTTATCCAGACTTTTGAATATTTCGAAAAGCTGTTCAACAGAAACATTTTAAGTAGGGACTCGAACCCGCGACTGCCAACAGGGCTAACTTATAAACCATACTATCCGGTAATCTCGATACTCAAATATATGCATCACATATTAAAAGAACAAACTAAAGAATCAAAACAAACCCGATGAGTTTGAGAAGAGTAAATTAAGCACTCTCGCGACCTTTTATAAACACTTTGTAGTGGCTGAAAGTAATATCTTACTTTACACTTATGGATGTAACCATTCATATTAAAATCTGTCTTTAGAATAACTTAATTTAAAGGCACACAAGGTTTGGACAACATATGTTTTATGTTTCTTCATCAGCCATTCTTACGTTTATCGATCTGTAGTATTATTATCTTTTGTCCTAAACGATTTATTTAAGTTCCAAAAGAAGGTTGTATGACGAAAAAATATATTTTAAACAAAGTAATAAACAAACAACTGAAACTAATATTTTGAAATGTATAAACTTCTTGTTTTCTATCCATATAATGATTGTCTAACCAAAGAGTGATTAAAAAAAACTAATAATTATGAGTTTGTCGTTCTCTAGGGAACATTTTCGCTGATTGTTGAAGCCTGGCATGAAAGCAGTGGCCACGAAGGTATGTTTATAATGAAATAAATCATTTAGGAGATGTTTAAATTCTCACCGAACATTTTTGTAGAATAGCACAATATATATATCTGTATTTTCTTCTGGCACTCTATCTATCCCGTAACCACTCTTCCTATCTTCCTTTCAGTTTTTTTTAGACCATACTTATAATGAGTATGGGTGAGAACATCAAATAAACAAAAAACTGATTGATTTTAGCGATAGTCCATCTCATTCTTAACCAGTACAATTATTTCCTCAAGTTAAATCAGGTTGAGGCTGAGTC